GCGGGCTGACAGATTGCGTGAAGTGGACGAATTCGGCGGGTCCCATGTAGGAGCCTGGCGGGAGCAGGGCGACCAGTCGTGCTCAGCTTGACCTTCACATTTGCACAGTCTGGAGGGGAAGATTGGAGGTCTGCAGAGTTGCAGAGTAGCTGAGTTTGGAAGGTTTGCGAGGTTTGCGTAATTTTGAGGTTTGCAGAATTCGTATGCTTTTGTTGCTTACCGTTATGGCACATACATGTGTCAACTATGTGTGCTATCGGCGCATGGCACTTACACGTGATGGTGATAGTTGATAAGTGCTCATGTAATTGGTATATGTATGCCTATCTGCCGTCGGTGCGTGTTCTGGATGTCTGAGACTGGTGCACGTTGCTGACGTGTGTTAGTGATGACTGTCACTGATGCGTGCCATGTGGCAAATGCCCTTCAGGTGAGCTGATGATGCGGGTAGTTGATGCATGTTCAAGATGCCTGTCGTTGACGTACGTTCTTGCCTCGTGGCATCATTGGCATGCGTTCTCGAGGTATTGTCCTGGATGTCTTGTGGACGTCCCGACGACGCGACGCCCGGACGGCGTGACGCCTCCCTGGTGGAGTTCGCGAGGGTGGACCCCCCTGGATCGCCCAGGACTCCTGGGGCCTGGCGGCCGCGGCATGCTCGGTGGGCGAGGCGGGCGGGGGCCCGTGCTCTCAAGACCCAGCAAGCCCCACCTGTCGGGTGGGGGGGAACGGGACCGCTTTCCCTCAGGACCCTGTTCCTTCATCGCGGGGGGCATCCAGGGGTCGCTGGGGTCCCACGACGAAGCCTCCAGAGGCTTCCCAGAGCCCCAAGGAACTAGCAGAAACGTAGAAAAAAACACCAGGGTCTCGAACTGGGCATGGAAGCCGCGTATGGCTACGCCCGGCCGCTGCTCGCTGTGCAAGACAAACACAAACTGGAGAGGATGAGGAGGATGACATGTGTTTCCAGCCAGTAGGCCGCAGTGAAATCGGTCGGACCGCGTGAAGACTGGGAGGAGGGCCATGATGCCAAGATCCACCCTGGACGCCAAGCCTTTCTGCAAAGGACCCAGACCCCCGACATCGTGACTCTTCCGCAACGTGAACTCCTGGAAATCTCAACCCCTTTCCCGCGACAATGTGTGATTCCCGTGTGGTTTTGTTGATTGCCCCGCGTTCGACAAGGGCTGCGCGAGAGGCCGAACGTTGCCAAACATATTCCGTTGTGTTTTGTGGAAGACGCTCAAAGGCCTGAACCGGAAAGTCCCCCCCTGACCTTTCACATGAAGGAAACGAGCTACGTGGGACAAGTGGCCTGGACCCTGTGGGCTTTCCAAAAGACCACCTTTTCATCCAGGATCGTGTTCTAACGGTTCTGGTTCTGGGGCTGGGGAGGGTCCCGGGACCTTAAAATGGCGAAAAGCCTCATGACCACATTCCCTCAAGAACCGCTTGCTCCACGGCGGTGGATCCTCGACCATTGAACCGCCAGCGGAGGGCTTGCTTCCAGCCAGACGCTAGAGCCCTCTCAAATGGGGTCGGGTACACGAGTCGGAGGATTGCGCCGTATCGCCGATGCATCGCCGACACATCGGCGATGCCTTGGCGCCGTTGGCGATGCATCGGGGCCGTCGCAGGGGCCACTTTGGGGCCACCTTTCTGCCATCCTCGATCCCCCATGCTTACTGCCACGCCATTTCCGCCCGCCCGGCTGGATTTCTCCCAGCCAGACTTAGGACCCCCAAACCGTGTGGTGACGGATCTCGTGGTGGCCTCGGAACCCCCAACGCCCTCACCGCGCGGTCCGTCACCGCACGGCTTCGGGACCTCGAATGCCCCAGGCGCCCGAGACGTCCTCGGAGCACGACCCGGGCCCCAAAGCCGTGCGGTGACTCCGAACCAACCTTAGGAGGAGGAGGAGGAGGAGGAGGAGGAGGAGGAGGAGGAGGAGGAGGAGGAGGAGGAGGAGGAGCTCGGTCACCGCGCGGTGACTCGTCGCACAACGGTGGTCCTCGTCGTTTTTGGTCTTCGGGCCACGGCTCGGCTCTCCGAGGGCCGTTCTCGGGAGGATCTGGGCGCCCCCTGGGCACGCCCTCGCGGCGAGGCGCCGCTGCCGGGAGGCGCCCCGAGGCCGGAGGGCGGAGGGGAGCCTTCGGTGGCAGCTCCGAAGGAGGAGGAGGAGGAGGAGGAGGAGGAGGAGGAGGAGGAGGAGGAGGAGAGCCTCCCGTACACACCATCCTGTCGGCTCTGGCGAATCGACGCTAGTCGGCATCAAATCGACGCTAATCGACGCTGGTCGACGCAACAGCGACGTCAATCGACGCTCACCTACGCTGGATCGGCGCTGCCGCTACCCCATCGACTCCCAGGCGCTAGTCGACGCCAATCGACGCTGAAGACGGAATTGAGAGGGTATACAAGGCTCCCATGATTTGCTACCGAAGAGAACCTACGGCAGCCTCCGAAAACTTCGAACCTCGAATTCCCTCGGACCTCCGCTGCGAGGCGGGGAGTTATCCATATCCACCGCCTGGGGACCGATGTCCTGGTGCCCCAGCGGTCGGTGGACATGGATATACCGCCTCGGATCCGCGCCTCGGATCCGCGGACTCACCACTTTGGACGCCCGAAATGGGCACGGAAAAGATGGGTACAATGTCCAACAACAAATGCTGTCCCAAAACAACAGCGGTCGCTGTTGGGCGGGCGGCCCTCTGTCTCGAATGGACACAGGCCGCGGCGGCGCGGACAGCGAACCCTGTTCAGAAGGAACAGGAACCGCTGCTGGGCATTGCACCCATTCTCTCCGTGCCCATCTCGTTCGTGCAGATGGGTCCCCTTCGCCGCCGCCCCTCGACTGCAACCCTGGCGCGTGGCCGATCGTGGGCGCCGAAGCCGTTCCGCGCGCGGGGCGTCCTCGCCCACTCTCCGGGCGTCCAGTTAACCGCGCGGTGTGGGCACCGCACCGCCCGGCGGGGGTCCACGACGGGCGCGCCCTCCCTCCGCCCCGGCGGCAGGGCGGGCCGCCCCGCCGCCCCAGCGGCAGGGCGGCCCGGCCCCTCTCCGCGGGGGCCCCCGGCGCCGCCCGCGGAGCGGTGCGCGAGGCGCGGGCCTCTGCTCCCGTCGGGCCGGGCGAGAGAATCCGCTCACGAGGCTGACTTTTCCAGCGCCTCCCGGCGCCGGGGGGCGCCCATGCATCGAGGAATGGGCCCGGCGGCGGGGCCGAAACCAGCGGCGTGCAGCAAAAATATCGTAACCCCCCATTCCCAATCCCCCCCTTTCGCCTGGCCCGATCCAAGGCCGCGCTAACGGCGATGTTGGTGGACTGCGATGTTGGGGCGCTGCTGTGTTCCTGCTCGCGAGCATCTGTCACGCGTGCGGAGCTACACTGCCAATGCCGCGCTTTCCTGTGGCTTTGCTGTGTTCCTCCTCGCAACGCACACCGCCAGAGGCGGCGGAGAGCTTGAGAGATTCACCCACCAAAAGTGGTTAACGGCGATGTTCGGAATCTGATTTTTGTGACACCGAGCTCGCGCAGAACAACATGCAGGAAATCACGAAGTACCCTTTCGTGCATTTCAGATGTGCGAATGTGTCGAACGAAAACGACGCAGCGAAATGCAGGAAAGCATAAACCACGATGTCCTACAATTGGTTTGGCCACGAGGCACTCCCACCTACAATGCCGAAACCTACATCGCCGTTACCTACATCGCTGTTAGCGCGTCTACGGTCTTCTATGGGAACGAACAATAACATAAACATGACAACTCGTCCGCGCGGATTTCTCGGGTCGGCGCTGGAGCCCCCTGGCGGCGCCGCCGGCGCCGCCCCTGGCGCGCGCCGCGCGCCAAAGAGGGGGATTCCAACGCCGATCCGAGAAATCCGCGCGGACCTCCGAATTTCTATGTCTATGTCATTGTTTGTTTCCCTATCATGGCGCCCCGAGGGGGTCTCTCGATGGCTTTTTTCCTCGACTCAACTTCGGTGGCAACTCATGGGAGCCTCCCGTACCATCTTGTCGGCTCTTGCGAATCGACGCTACTCGACGCAACATCGACGCACATCGACGCTGGCCGACACTAAATCGGCGCTATCTCATCGACTCTCGACGCGAATCGACGCCAAACATTGAATTTTGAGGGTGCACCAGGCTCCCATGATTTGCTACCGAACCCAACGCTGGTGTACGGTGCGCAGTGTGCTGCTAACACGGCCCCCTGTGGGGCCTCCGAGGCAGAGGGCTGCGGGTGTGGGGAAGCGCTGCTGCAAACCCGCCTCTCCCGCCTGTGCCGAACTGTGTGCGCAACTAGCCTGCGGCATAGGCGGAGTTCGGACCGACTGCGCTGCCACGGGGGGGGGGCGAAGCACCCAGGCGGAGAGCCCTCCCCCGTCCTCGAGGATCCTACCCCCCCCTCCTCGCTCCTCGAAGGCCCTCGATCCCACCCCCCCTCCTCCATCCTCGAAGGCCCTCGAGGGCCTCCCTCCTCGACCCGCCCTCCCTTTACAGCTGCCCCGGGGGTCACCCAGGTTGCCTCCCCACTGCCGCCCGCCCAGATGAGGGGCAACACTAGGGGGGGGGATGGGCACCGGGGGGGGAAGCGTCGACCTGGAATCGTCGATACATCGCCGATCGATCGGCGATGGGCCCCCGATCGCAGATCCGCACCTTCCTGGGCAGATTGGGGCCATCGGGCCCGTATCGGTGATCCATGGGCGATTTGGGGTCGATGCATCCCCCCTATGCCTATCCCAGACATCCGACGTCTCGATGTTTTCGAGACACGGGCCCCCGACCTCCCAACCACTTCCCCGAGACGAGTTTTTCGTCCGGAATCATTTTTTGACGGTCCCAGGGCCCGGCGAGGGCCTCGAGAGGCCGAAAACCATGGCAAACCTCCGCCTCGATTTTTGGGTGCGAGACGCCCGCTGTCCAGGACCCCCCCCCCCTATCGGTTGCAACCCGAGGCCTGCAGGGGACGCTCCCGGCCGGGCGCGTCCTTCCACATGCGCGTCGGGGCGGCGCCCAGGGGGCCCCCCCCGGGAGGGGCGGGCCGCGACCGCCCCACCCCGGGGGTGGAAGGGGGCCGCGGGGCGGCTCGGGCCCCTCGGGAGCCGTGCAGCGGGCGGTGGCCAGCCGGCGCCCGCGCGGCCAGGCGGTCTGCGCGCCTCCTCCCCCCCCCTGTCTCTCTCTTTCGCCCTCTGCCCAGACAGCGGGCGTCTCGAGAAAACCGAGGCGGAGGTTTGCCGTGGTTTTCGGCCTCTCGAGGCCCTCGCCGGGCCTCGGGACCGTCAAAAACTGATTCGGGCCGAAAAACGGGTCTCGGGGAAGTGGTTGGGAGGTCGGGGGCCCGTGTCTCGAAAAAATCGAGACGTCGGATGTCTGAGTCCTTTTCTTTCTCCTCCTCCTACTCCTCCTCCTCCTCCTCCTCCTCCTCCTCCATCCTTTTCCTCCATCCTTTTCCTTCGGAATGCCTCCTACCTGCCGCGCCCCCAGACATGGTGTCGGCAGGGCGGGTCGGGCGCTTCGCCTGAGACTTCCCCACCACTCATCATCCTGGAGCTTGAAGTTTGCTACACCTTCACAGATGGGAGGGCGGGCGGTTTTCAAAAGGTGGCTCTCGCCATAGCGCCGCGCGCATTCGTCTTAAAAGTTGGAAAAGAGTTTCAGGCATACAGGGCAAACATTTTCAACATGTTGCTCTCGCCTGAGCACCGCGGACACTCGTCTTAAAAGGTTGCAGACAGTTTCACGGATGGACGGCTGGTCGTTTGCAAAATGTGGCTATAGGCAGAGCTCCGCGCCTGAACAGAGTGCAACAGCTTCACGGATGGAGGGCGGGTGGCTTTCAAGACGTTTCTCTCGCCTGAGCACCGCGCACGTTCGTCTTAAAAGTCTGCAAACAGCTTCACTGATGGAGGGCGGGTCGTTTGCAAAATGTGGTTTTCGCCTGATCGCATCGCACATACGTTTTTTGGTAAGAAAATGCAGCAGCTCCACACATGGAGGGCGGGTCGTTTGCAAAATGTGGCTTTCCCTTTGGCGCATCGCACCTCCGTCTGAAAAACTGCAATAGCTGCACGGATGGAGGGCGGGTCGTTTGCAAAATGTGTTGTTCGCCTGATCGCAGCGCACATACGTTTCCAAAATGCAGCAACTTATAACAGCTCCACGAATGGAGGGCGGGTCGTTTGCAAAATGTGGCTTTCGCTTTGGCACATCGCACATTCGTCTTAAACAATTGCAACAATTTCATGGATGAAGGGCGGGTGGGTTCCAAAAACTGGTTCTCGCATTAGCGTCGCACGCATTCGTCCTAAAGAAGTTCTGAAGCTTTTGCGACCGCTTCACACATGGAGGGCCTGTGGTTTAAAATATGCGGCTCTCGCCTGGGCGCCGCGCGCATTCGTCTGAGAGCTTCGCAACATCTTCACGGATGGAGGGCGGCGGGTTTCAACATGTGGCTTTCGCCTTAGCGCATCGCACATTCGTCTTACAAAAGAACCAACAGCTTCATGGATGGAGGGCAGATGAGGGCAGGTGCGTTTCAAAAGGTGGTTCTCGCCCTAGAGCCGCGCACATTCGTCCCAAACGTTGGCGACCAGTTCAAGGACGGAAGGCTGCTCCCCTTGTCATAATGTTGCCTTCGTCGCAGCGCCGCGCACATTCGTCTTCAAAGTGTGCGACGACGTCAATGGCTCGTATGGCAAAAAATCCAAACATAGTGTTCTGGAGCGACTCAGGATTGCCAGGCCGTAACAGTCACGTTGATTCGTGATCTTGAAGTTCCAGAAATGGTGTTCTGGCACGGCCTGGGACTGTCAGGGTGCAACAATCACGTTGACCCGCGGGGCTGAAGTCCCAGGAATGACGTTGTGGTGAGATTGAGGATTCTCAAACGCATGTCTTCTAAAGGGCCACTGCCTGCCACAACACATTCCTGCAGGGAGCGATGCCCAAAAGAGAAAGGAACTTGGAGGAAATGTGTCTCTCGCCTGGGCGCCGCGCGCATTCGTCTTCAAAGCTCGCAACAGCTTCACTGATGGAGGGCAGGTCGTTTGCAAAATGTTGCTCTCAGCTTAGCGCCGCTCGCATTCGCTTCTTTCTTTTAAAAAGTGCAACAGCTTGACGGACGGAAGGCGGGTGGGTTTCAACATGTGATTCTCGCTGTAGTTCCGCGTACATTCGACTTACAAATTTGCTACACACTCAAAAACGGCGGGCGGCTCCTTTTCATTATGTTGTTCTCGCCTCGTATGGCTGAAGTCCCAAAATGATGTCCTGGAGAAGTCAAGATTGCCAGGAAGAAACAATCACGTTGAGTCGCGGTGCTGAACCCCAAAAACATTGTTTTAGAACGACTTGGGATTTTCAAGACGTAAAAATCACGTTGATCTGCGGGGTTGAAAACCCAGGGCCGTGTTTCGGAACGATTGGAGATTCTCAGGCTCTTGTCTTCTCATAGGCAACTCTCCGCCCTGGAAGCAAATTCTTGTAGGGGCCCGTGAAAATCGAACTCGGAGGGATGGCTCATTGCAGCGTCGTTGATGCGCCTTGGATTCACGCTGGTCCTCCCCATCCTCCTCCCGCACCACCTCCCCCCTCGGAGGCGTACGTCCGAACCGAACAGCCAGCAAAACACGTGTTACACTAACTATGTATCGCTGCCCAGGCGGTGTGGCCAGAGAGCGCCCGCCGCCGAGCATCTACCATAAGACGTCTGAGCGTGCGTGGCGCCTCTGGGGGGCTGAGGCACGCACGGTGGAGGTTCAAGATAAGGATACCTTCGATAAGGAACCCAGGGTCTCGCGACCGATGGGCGGCCAAACATGGGTCGCCCACCTCGCCTTGAAACCAGAAGGAATGCACAAGGGTCTGGGCCCCAGGAAGGGGTTCCGTATAGCAGACCTATGTATGGGTGACGCCGGCAAGTCCTTTCGCGGAAAACAGGAAGCCCTCTCTGCAAGCTGCAAGACACGAGCTGCTCTCGTGGCGGCGGCCGGATGTCCCCAACTCCTCTCGTCGTGGGAAAATAGCGATGGGCTTTTGTTGCGTCTGCATGCCCCTGGGGGCCCTGACAGGGCCTCGGGACGGTCAGAACTGGAATGAAATTGCGATGTGCTTTGACGTGGTGCCTATGTTACCCCCTATGCGACTTACGTAGCGCTTGTACGTAGCGTCTATTTCACCCAAATGCGATTCACGTGCTTTCACATAGTGTTGTCCATGTAGTGATGCTGCGTAGTGTATTTGCGCAGCGTCCTCACGTTGCGTATTCGCAGGAATGCCCCAGGAGCAATCCTAGGAGCATCCCAAGAGCCCCCCAGGAGCATCCCAACGGCACCCCAGGAGCATCCCAAGACCATCGTCGTAGCATCATCGAAGTACCCCAGGGGCATCAGAAGAGCACCCTGGGAGGACCCCGGGAGCATCCCAGGAGCACCCCAGGAGCAGCCCAGGAGCATCTCAGGAGCATCCTAGGAGCACCCCAGGAGCAGCCCAGGAGAATCTCAGGAGCATCCTAGGAACATCCCAGGAGCATCGCAAGAGCCTGCCGAAGGATCCCAAGGGCGTAGTGTGTTTGCATAGTGTGTTACGTAATGTTGTCGCAAAGCGCATTGACGTCGTGCATGTATGACGTGTTACCCCCAATGCTTTTACTCAGTGCACTTCCGCAGTGCATGTGCGTAGAGTACGCGAATGGTGCCCACTGCACCAATCCATGCGATTTACGTCGTGCTTTGACGTGGTGTCGTTTCCGCTGTTTTAACGGCGTGCCTATTTTACCTCCATGCGATTGACGTAGTGCTTTTTCGTAGAGTCTAGTTCGCCACCCGTGCGATTTACATGTTTTACGTAATGTACGTACGTAGTTTATGCGCGCAGTGCCCTCACGTTGCGTATATCCAGGAGCGCCACTGCAGCATCCCAGGAGCATCGTAGGAGCATCTGAGGAGCATCCCAGGAGCAATCTCAGAGCATCCCTGGAGCACCCCAGGAGCTTCCCAAGAGCACCCCAGGAGCATCCCAGGACCACCCCAGGAGCATCCCAGGAGCATCATCGGAGCACCCCAAGAGCACCACATGAGCTTTCCCAGCTGACCACCCGGAGAGCCGCCGAACCTACGTCGTCCGTTGCCCAAATAGGCTCCAAGACGCCCTAGATGGTGCAAGATGGCCTCCAAGATGCCTCCAAGACGGCCAAGATGGCCCCAACGCGTCCCAAATTGCCAAATATGTTCTCAAGGCGGCGTACGAGTGCCCCAAGATGGCCTACGATGGCACAGAAGGCCCCCAAGAGCCGCCCAAGAGGCAACCGAGAGGATCTCCATGACGGCCCGAAGAGGTCATCCTGTATTGACCAAAGTGTTTGAAAAGCCTGGCGTTTGCTCAGGTTCGCTTTCTGGTGGCCCAAGACGGCCCCAGAGGCCGCTAAGATTGCCCCTAAGAACCCCAAGAGGCCTCCGAGATGGCCTCCTGATAGCCGAAGCGGCACCCAAAACGGCTCCAAGAGGGCCCTCAGACGGCCCAGGATACCTCCAAGACGCCCATAATGGCCTCCAAGCTGGCCTTGAAGCATCCCCAGAGGGCCCCAAGTCGGCCCAGAGAGGCCCCCCAAACTGCGTCTGACGGCGGCTGGCGGGCCAAGAACGCCCTCAGACGGCCCTCCAAATGAGCCCCAAGCAGCCACAAAAAGGCCCAAGGAAGCGCCCAAGAGGCCTCCAAAAGGCCCGAGGAAACTCCCAGGAGGCCCAAGAGTGGCCCAAAAGGCTACCACGTGGTACCTGGGCCCTTGGTGGTACGACCCCAATCCTTGGTGCCGTAAGTGTAGGCGTGCTCGTCCGCGAAACGAGCCGCGATGTGACCCAATCGTGGTGGAGCACGCTGGTGAAGAAACTGGCGTCGGCGAGGTCGATGCTGGCGTCCATGCAGACGAGATGTGGCGCGTGGCCCAGGCAGGAGGGGGAGGAGGAGGGGGAGGAGGAGGAGGAGGAGGAGGAGGAGGAGGAGGAGGAGGAGGAGGAGGAGAAGGAGGAGGGAGGAGGAGGAGGAGGAGGAGGAGGACGAGGAGGAGGAAAGGGGGAGAAGGAGGAGGAGGAGAAGGAGGAGGAGGAGGGGGAGGAGAAGGAGGAGGAGGAGGAGAGAAACAGGAGGAGGAGGAGGAGGACGAGGAGGAGGGGGAAAGGAGGGGAGAAGGAGGAAAGGGGAGGAGAAGGAGGAGGAGGAGGAGGCAGAGGAGGAGGAGGAAGAGACGTCTGGAGAGCGACAGGTAGGGGGAAGAAGAGCGAGGCCTGCGCCCTCGCCCGCGGCCGCGTCCGCGTCCGCGCCGCCCTCGCCGCGCCAGGCGGCAGAGTCCCATACTTGGTGGCGCGCACAAAGGGGCGGAGGGAGGGGGGAGGGCTTCTTCGAAGGAGGCTGCCTCTTAGAAGGCGCCGGCCTTACATCTACAGAGAAGGCCCGCGGCTTCTAAGAAGCAGGGGTACTTCTAAGAAGCCCTCCCCATGCCCGGCGGAGCAGGGCCGTGCTGGCCACCGCGGCCTGCGCGCACGCGGAGACCGGGCAGCAGCCGGCGGAGTCCCAAGGGGGCGTGGCCGTTGGCACGGGGAGCGAGGGGCTCGGCGCGGCGGGTGGTCGTGGCAGAGCGCGGTGGCCGTGGGGTCGTGCTGGGGGCGGTGTCGGCGCTGGCGCGGCGAGCAGCCGTGCACACGATTTTTCGGTGGTAGGTCCCTCCTCCATGGGCCTTTTAGGCAGACAGGGAGAGAGAGAGAGAGAGAGAGAGGCGCTGACGCTTCGGATCCTCGAGGCCCACTAGCTTGCTAAGAAGAGAGAGGGAGAGAGAGGGAAAGAAAAAGGGAACGACAGGAAGAAAGAGAGAGAGAGAGAGAGTGACGTAGTGCGGGTGACAGGGAGAGGCAGTAAGAGGAAGAGGGGAGGACGCATGTAGTTGATGCACGGAGTGGCGAGGTGACACAGAAAAGCGGCAGGCAACGAAGGCACAGAACTGCTCAGTACGCGGGGCACAGCCTCACACAGGTGTGGTCACCGCCTGGCTCACGCCGCCTCCTTCCAACCATCTTGCGCTCCCCCATCCCTTCCTCGCCTGGCTCGCAGCGCCTCCCCAACTCTTGTCTCTCATCGCCTGCGCTTCAGCCACTGCCCCCCGTCCCCCACCTTGAGCATGGGCCAACCATCCTGGCATTTGTGCAGGCGTACCACGAAATATTCTTATAGAACGAGAGAGCGTTCTCAGAGCACAATCTTACTACACAGAACTGATCGATCAAAATAAACAGATCGGGACGCTTCATCACACCACCTCCCCCTCCTGCGCGCCCGCGTCCGAACCCTGCGCGCAGCCGCCATCGTCCCCTGGGCACGCCGTGGAGTGCTGGGATGCCCGCTCGGCCAACCGAGAAGGCATGCTGCAGCTTCTGAGGCCGGACACCCTCATGCGACGCACAAAGACATACTACTAGCCTCGTCAAAATTAACCTCAGAAATGGCGAACACGCCCCTGCGATGTCGGCGCGCCCTTCAATGTCGGTAGAGGCTCCTCCAATGTCGGGGCCAGGGCAAAGGTGGTCTGACTGGGAACGACTCGGAAGTTCGATGATGACCGACATTGGAGGGGCGGCGCGTACAAGTACCTCACAGTCATCGCTGCTCTGTCCAGTATCTCCCCACAAACAGTTCAGCCACGTAAGACATTTGTGAGGTGAATGTTGACGAGGGTTGTAGTACTATATGTTTTCCCTGGAGGTGCGCGTCCGACCCGAACATGTGGTATACCCATCTTGTCGTATAGAGTTTCCCCAGCGGTGTGGCCAGAGGGCGCCCGCCACGACGCGTATACTATGAGCTTTCTCGGTGCGCGCGTCGCCCCTGGGTGGGCGACGCGCACATAGTATGAGTATGTTGGGGTGACGCCGATCTCATACCGAAACATGAGAAATGCCTCTGGGTTGCCTCCCCGGCACTCTTCTCAGCCCCTAAGGCGGTTCCAGGTCCGCCCGAGGACGGCTGCAAGACGCCTGCAGAGCAGCCCAAGACGGCCCGACCCCACAGAAGCCGCGAGGTGCCCCCCACGAGACCCTAAGACACCCCAAGAAGCGCTCAGGAAGCCTTGTAGCAAGATGCTGGAAGGCCCCCAAACTGGCGGGCCTCCTTCTCGCCGCGGCCGGACGCAGGGTCGAAAAGCTCACCAGGGTGCGGGGGCCTCAAAGAGCCCCCCGCCCTCTTTGATGGCCGCCCCCTCGCCTCGCCCACTTTCGCACCGCCAGAACTGACGAGATTGGGTGCCATAAAAATGGAACGTCAATTCATTGCGGAAATGGCGTCGGAAGGTCGCACCGCGTCGCCGATGCATCGGCGGTGCGCCGGCAGTGCCGGGATGGAGAGATCAAGGCTCTGGAGCGAGACGCATCAACGATGCGGTGAGGTCCTCCAAGCCCATCTGCTCCAGCCCCGCTTGAGAGGCCCAGAAGTATCGGGCCCACGT